GCCAAAACTGATGTTGAGAAAATGTCTCACCAACAATATTTGATCATGGATGTGATACAGGTATATAAAGTATAATTGTAACTAATACGTAATTTGATGGTGCATTCTTGTAAATAAATAAGTATTGATTGTTTTCTTGCTTGTTGTAGGTTTTAGTGACCGACCTGTCATCAGCCATTGTTGTGTACCAAGAGAGACAACTGTCGACACCAATGGTGATAGAGAAAAAATCGTTGAAAACGATCCACCTGAGTCTCCTAAGGGGAGAGCCCACCGAAAGAAAATAAAGGCCGCCGTTCTACGTACTCCGTGGAGGCATATTGAAAAAAAATATCAACTGTGTTTTTCGTGGAAACACTTTTGCAGTGTCGCCCTCATATGTTCAATCAAGCCAAGAATAGGAAATTCTCGAGCACGCTTTAGTACAGAGTTTAACGATTATGCTTGTTTGTTGTCATTATATTGAAACGAGTTGCTTTAAAATGTGCTCTAGCCCAATGGTGCAAACCAGCTTTCTCTAGGTATCCCCGAAAATTCTCATGTTTACTGCACAATGTTTGTCATGTTCTCTCTGAAATGGTGTATTGTGTATGCTTCGGCTGTTGCCCAAAATAATGCATCTAATTCCAACTTTAGAAACTCGAATTTTAGGTTTCTCAACAAGTGATAGTTACGATATCCACGATGTGCATGTTCAAAAACTTTCTCAAAGCACCTTTTGAAATACTTGTTCCCCTATCCGAAACTATAACAAGATCTCGGGAATCACATGTTACATTTTTCAACTTTTCGAAGAAGAAAGTCCAAGAAACAATGTTCTCAGAGTATACAATTGCCTAAGCGAGTGGATAAATTTGACAATTTGCATCCTGACATGTTGTAATGAGCAAAGTACCACGATATCTCCCCGTCAGGAATGTCCCATCCACAGATATTGTTTTTTTGATAGAAGAGCAGAATGCACGACCCTAAAGCCATGAAAAAAAATACTTGAAATGACCATCCACACTTGTTTCAATGAAAGTGACCGTCCCAAAATTCTTTTGCTCCAAAACGTAGCAATATTGTGGGAGCTTTATGTAACTTCCGTATGGGCAACCTCGATTGAGACTACATCCGTAACGCTTTGCCATAAATACTTGTGTAGCTGATAGTTATCTCGAACTTGTCTTGGACATCGAAAATAATGTCCTTCGGCTTATAAATCCGATTGGCGTCTTTGTAATTTTCGGAAATGTGCTTCCCAATCAGCTTATACGTTGCATGCTTGTGATCTTTAGTACGCATACTCATAGAGCAAGTGTGATCACCAACATATTTATGTACTTAAAAATTTTTATCACTTTTTATTTTCACCGCTCTCAAACGCTAAGGACAATTGCTCTCAATACAAGCAACAACATACAAGGTCTTTGTTGACTTTATCACCCTGAATTTAATCTGGTACTTTACAGCCAACAACAAAAGTTTGTCTACTAAGTGTTTTTTGGTTGAGAATAGATTGTTACGTTTAAAATCTTCACTTTCGAGATTTCTCATGAAAGATGGACAAGGGAGCGGACTCATAGAATAATTTGCATTATCAACCACAGTATATTCTGTTGTAACGCGCATCTTCTATAAAAAAATGGTTCTTCTTTCATCTTCAACTTCAACATTTTTTTCGATCGGACTATCTCGATTCTCCTTCATACCGTCCAATTGACCTTCGAGCCGCTCGTGAATTTTCTAATCTCATTTAAGTGTTTCAATCACATCTGAATTGTGATTGTTCGTTTTTTCCTCAACAAGTCTTTCAATCGGACATTCTCTATTTTCACCATACTGTCACAGTGGATTTTAACACGCATTTTCATGTTATTCATATGAACTTGTATTATTATTACTATACGTGCACTTATTATGTTTTAGCTTCCGCATATTCAGACTCAGTATGTATTATGAGACTTCAGACTTATGAATGTGTAATGTATGTATCTCTGTGGTACCTTTATATAACGGATTTGATTAGGTTGCATGTATTTATTTATGTCTGCATGAGACAGAGATAAGAAAAATAAAGTTAGCAGCATCCCGCGAGCCATTATGAGCATTTTCGAAAATAAAAGTTAGGAGTTTTTTGAAAATAAAAGGCAAAATTTTTACTCTGATTTTTATTTTTCTAGTAATTGAAGGCAGAGTGTTACAATAAGTGTTATAAAAAATAATGACATGATACGATAATAAATTTTTGAATAAAATAATAATTGAGTATTATGATAAACCAAAGTATGTAAAATTATTATTTTTTCTACATTAAAAAATAAATATATAAAAATATTATTTATATTAATATAAACAGGTCAGTGTACTAATGTATTGTTAAAATAAAATTATGAAGAAATGTTCTAAAACACGAAATCTTATGCATCGCATGTGATTCTCACTAGTGTTACATCAATAGTGATATCCATATGCGTTTTTAAATTTAAACACATTAATTAAATAATTAACTGATACAAGGATAGATTTTGTTAATTTGTGACTCTTTGTTTTTAAATTATTTTATACCAAATTCCAAACATCATTCCTTTTGAATGTGAATGTGTTAGAACTTTTGAAATAATTAGAAGAATATGGTTGTGGGTAGGGGTTGTAAACAAATCAAATATTTTTTATTTGATTCGTGATTCGAATTCGATATTCGTGATTTGAATTCGAAATATTCGAATTCGAATTCGAATGATGTTTTAGATTTGAAATTATAACGAATTCGAATCCGAACGTGTAGATATTCGATTCGAAATTCGAATATTCGATTCGTTAACAATAATTATATAAATTTTACAAATTATATATAATATACATTTTGTTTATAATATATGTATATATATATTGTTATATTCCTAATATTTTTATGACATAAAAATAAAAACATCATAAATTAGCAAAATTTTCTAAAAATATATGAAAAATAAAATTTATTTTTGTAATTATAATACTTTTTAATTATAATATTTTTTTGAAAACGAATTTCGAATCGAATCGAATATGTTCGAATATTCTAAACGAATCGAATACGAATCAAAAAATGAATTCGTTACCGAATCACGAATCAAATCTTCGAATATTTTAAACGAATCGAATCGAATCTTTGAGTATTCGCCTTGATTCGATTCGTTTACAACCCTAGTTGTGGGTAGTTATGGATTCGATGCATGCAGAAAGATCTTGTAAGGGACGAAAAAGATACTTACATAGGACTATCTCTTAAC